CAAATTTTGCTGCTATTTTTCATAATTTTCATAAAAATAGATATTTATATTTAAACACTTTCCTCAAAATTCTGATTTCTTTTTTGATAATATACAAAAATCAAAAGGATTACTGTAGGGAAAAATCATCTAAACATCAAAAGGATACTGTAGGAAAAAATATTGGGAAACGAAATAGATTACTGTAAATAGGGGAAAATATCCGAAAATAAAAAGGATTACTGTAGGGAAATGTATCCGAAAATCAAAAGGTTGCTGTAGGGGGAAATACTTGAAAATAATAAGGATTACTGTACAGAACATTATTCGAAAATTGAAAGAATTACTGTAGGGTAAAAACATTTGGGAATGAAAAGGATTATTGTAAAGAATTATACTTGGAACTGAAAAAGAATACTGTAGGTCATAGGGTTAGAAGTACGCTGGGGCGCGATTTCTGACCGAGCCTTCTGGACCGATGTGATATTATTCGAAAACTACAGTAACTTCGCTCGCAAACCACTGATATATCAGTGATAAGCTAATATTGAAAACACGTGTCGTGTACTATGCCCGTTTTAAAATGAGTAACAACCTACATACCTCGTGCTGAAGAATCTGTGATTATAATTGAACAAATAACAAGATTTTAATCTGGAAACACCATATTTCTCTTGTGAAATATAATTTCAAAGTGAAATAAAAAACTATAGCGCAAGGAATTTTCAGATGTTTATAGGTCACTCTATATCATCATCATCACACCCCCACTTCCGATTTTATTGAAATCTGATCCGATATTTTTTGATTTCGAAAACTGAAATCTTAAAAAATATCTTTCAATGAAAATGTTTTCAATATTGTACTATCTCCTCTCTTCCAACCTAGAAAGGACCAAAGTCGAAACAAAACACAATTGGTTCTCGTCGTTGACGGCGAAAGAAGAAAGGCGTTAATCCTTCAATAATTTTGCTGATAAAAAAATCATCATTGAAATGTATTGTTTCGATGCTTGAAGTTTCCAGTGTTTATTTTTGTTATGAAACCACAAGAGAGAAAAAAATGGAGAGGATTTGAAAGCTGTTTGATCTGATTCAAGCTCATTCAAGAGATTCTATTTTATTGAAATATACTGTAACATCAATACTAGGTTATGGCAAGTGAAAAAAAAAAACAACAATTGAATTGATCGAATTATTCGACAGTAAGCTCGCGGCAGATCATAATGAGAGGAAGATTTACTATAAAAAATCGTTGTGATGCTAATTAGAATTCAAGTGACAATATAAATATGCCAAACATTAATAATACCGAAAAAAAGTGAATGGAATCCGATGATTTGAAAACTATGATAATATTAGTTGGCACTTTTGTTATATGGAGGCGAACGAGAACGAGAATCTCGTTTGCGGGAAGGTGGTGGGCGGGAACCCTTCTGGGATGGTTTCGGCGGAGATTCCAGATGTCGGCGTCTAGCATGCTCTATCTCTTTTCTCAGTGGGAGATAGTCCAATTCAAGGGTGAAACGACGCTTCTTTGTATTGACTCCCGCCAAACACTGTAAATAGTGAAATTGAAAAAATATAAGACCTCTCCCGTTCCTTCGGAACACCGTCAGATTCTCCATAATCAATTCGAACTGAACATGTAAAGATACCTTTGAAATATGTGCCGCAGACAATACATGAGACAAAAAATTGGCAGCCATTTGCATCTCGCAGTGACACACTTCGCATTTTTTCTGAAATATCTCAAAATCAAATCGTTATTTATTAACTTCATCCTACTGGAATCTTCCAGGATTCAACGATTCTGTGCAGTTCATTGCGTTGTTCTTTTTTCAGCTGTTTGTAATCGGATCGGAGAAATTCAGCTAACTCAGTTACAATTTTTCCTGCGAAAAATGTCAGTTTGTAGATTTACAAATCCTCTGAAGCTCACCTTTTAGTCTTTGGTAATCCATCTTTTTCTTTGTCCCATGGTAAAACGGTAGTACTTTTTTCTCTGTTGCTGGTGAAACCTCTGCTGGTAAAATCCCTTCACGTAGTAGCGGCGGAAGTTCCTAGCAAGCTAACATTTTCAAACCGTTTTCGAATTTAGATTCTCACCGGACCGTACTTCCGATTATCTGTCAACTCTTTATCTGATGAAACATCTGATAGGTAATGGCGAAGTGGAGAGCGGGATCTATCTATTCCTTCTCTTCTTCTACTTTTTCTAGGGGGTAACAGGGATTGTGAATTCGATCTTCTTCGTTTCCTTTCTTCTAGAACTGAACCCTTTTTCTGCAAAACATCTATCCTAATTAACGTGCAACGGATAACTCACCGAACTTGATTCCTCATCTTTTCTCTTTGGTTTCTCTTGTTTATCAAAGCCCGAAATATTCATATTTTCAGATGTATTTGATCTTGTTACATTTAAGAATTCCTTCTTTTCTGTCGTTTGCTTAATCACATTCCCTGGTTGGATTTCAGATAAGGGATTTATTGAAAATGAGTGGAATGTTGCTCGCGGAACCTGTGACACTGTCAATGGAATAGGTTCCTCTTTTCCAAATATCTGAATGAGTTCCCCAAGTGATTTTGCAATAGTGATATTGCTTCCTTCGTATTGACCGTTATCAGTTATCCTGATTAAATGATGTGCACTGAAAAACTTTCTTTGATACCAGGAAAGAACAGTTGACGCTGCATATGGTCCTCTGAAATAAGTATTAGGTTGGCGGGAAAGTCTTTGTCACTCTGTTTGTTTAATCACTGTTCTCGTATATGGAGGCTGTGTATGATATCGACTCTAGTGAATAACAAGGTGATAAGAACCTTCCATATAAACAAGTCCCCATCTCCTTCCCTGCTCCTCATCTGTAATTGAAACGATATGTTTGTTCCCACTGCTATTCACATCAGACATGTTTTGATTTACCTCTTCCTATCTCACACCACGATGAAGGATTCGGAAACTTTCTTGAAGAATGTGTACAACACACATGCCCCTCACTACAATACTATTCGCAATTGGTTCCATCGTTTCGAAAAAGATGACTTCTCGCTCGATGAAAAGGATCGCTCTGGGTGACCCCGTGAGTTGGATTTGGACAAGCTGAAGCACGCATTGCAATCGGATCCATTTCAATCTAGCCGTGAACTAGCTGTCACATTCGGAGTTCACCATAGCACAGTCCTTGAAGGTTTGAAGTCTCTTGGAATGAGAAAACTTTTTGGTCGATTCATACCTCATCACCTGACTCAAGCCAACCTTGACCGTCGAGTCGACGATTCGATTACTCTTCTCACTCTCCACGCGGGCGATCGATGGCTGGACCGGCTAATAACCGGAGATGACACATGGTCTTCTACGAGTATCACCCACAGACAATCCAATGGGTTGGGAAAAGAAAAACCCCACGGATGTCCCCAAACCCGACCTTCATCCGAAAAAGTTATGCTCTCTGTGTGGTGGGGAGTGGACGGCCCCATCTACTGGGAACTTCTGCCCGAGGGCAAAACAATAACTGGAGACCTCTACACTACTCAACTACGAAACCTCAAGAAAGCAGTCGACCGTTCGGCCCTGAAAGACAAGAAAGTGTACTATCAACATGATAACGCTCGCCCACATGTTTCGAAACAAGTGAAGCAGGAGCTGATGGGATATGGATGGAATGTTCTCCCTCACCCCCCGTATTCTCCTGATCTTGCTCCTTCCGACTATTGGTTATTTGGCGATATGACACGTGCCTTCGAAGGAAGAAGCTTCAATTCCCGTGGAGCGGTCGAAGCGGCACTCAAACAATACTTTGCCTCACGCCCGGCTGGATTCTACCGCAATGGAATCCATAAATTGAGGGAACGTTGGAGACATGTTGTTGATAATGATGGACAATATAATTAATTATTCGGTTATTTTTTCTTTGAGAAATAAACTATTGAAAAAGTGACAAAGACTTTCCCGCCAACCTAATACTTGATTTCTTACACTTCTGCAGTTAACCCACTGAATAGTTCCATGATCATCCGTGTAGAATACAGTCAGCTCATCCTCAATTTCTTTTTTCATTCTGCAAGAAAATAATGTATTTATATATTTTATCGACGACTGGAGAAAAATTAACACATTTTGGAGACAACGGTTGCCTGGCAACTTAATTAAGGGGTTTGGGAGGGCACAACTGTGTTTGGGGACAAAGTGTAAAAACGGGGAGTGAAAATGCAACAAAACTTCGATGCATGAAGAGATAGCCAGTACAAAAGTTGAAGAGAGTAGAAAGTAGTCAGTACAAAAGTTAGAGATATTCAGAGAAAATAAGTCCTAGGAATGTAGATCCGAGAAATAGATTCGAAAAAAAAGAGGAAGGTAACATTATTTTTAGGCTGCGGTTGTTTTCCTTCTGAGACCGTTGATAGATTTTTGCGAGGGAAGGACACATCTATGAGATAGCGTGGATAGAAAAAGAATGTTTTATAGCTGTTGGTGTACGCTCACAAATGCATTCGAAATTTTCGCGCGTATGTTCGTCTTCTCTGCACTCTCTTCCTCAAACAATAGGCAAAACGCAGATATTTTGAAATTAGGTTTCTGACAACACTCACCATGGTTACATAGGTGAATCATAATTAGAATTCATTAAAATGTAGTTCAAAAAACAATGCTCATTTTTTGATTAGTTAAATACACAAATAGAAAATGGATCATATTTTTAAGAGGATAACACGAATTACAGAGAAATAGTGTATCAGTTCATTATATCCAGAGAACTTGTACTTTGAGTTCCTTCAAGTCGTGAAGAAGACGGTTGCTTTCGCATCAATGGAGAAGCTAGAAGACGTACCCATGTGGCAACAAGTCCTTCATGGTAGAAGATATTGCTAATCTTAATAAACTTGTTATTTATATGTAAAGGTTCCTGTCGATGAATACTTTTTCTCTATGCGGGGAACTTCCAATATGACGGCAAGTATCATAGAACGATCCGAAGGAGATGTCACAAAACTGACATTTGTTCTGTATAAAGAAATAGAGAATTCGACCGAAATGTGCTCTTTACATGTTTTTCCAGTAACTTCAGCAATGGTGCCGTGAACCGGCGTTTGAATGTCGTTTTATCGATGTTGCCAATGAGCGTATTGACGACTCGAGATAGAAACGTTCCGGACAACTTTCTCTCTGAAATCATCACTTTTTATATTTTTTTTGCTGCTCACATTCGTCTTACTCGTTTTATGAGTGTTCATTGTAGCGAACATTGTGGCTGCATCAATATCCAGAACTGTAGACAGCACATTCAACGGTCGTCCAATCAGATCAGCACCTGAAACTGCTAGATTATGAATATCGGAAAGACATGTGGAAACATACTAGGCTTTCTTGCAAATCCTTTGGTGCGATTTATAAAATCAGAAACGGATTCTGTTGCATTCAAATTCATGACTGGTTCAAACCCGGGAAGAGAAAGGCCTTCAAGTTTTCGATTTATTGGGATTTAAGAGAAAACTCACTTCCTATATGTGCACCCTTCATAACAGTGTTAACTCGATCAATCCAGTAATCGATGTCATTTTCGGTGAAGAGACAGTTCGAAACTTTCATGAGATGTTGAATATTTATCAGATGTTTAAACATCGAAGGGCCACTGAGATTTATTTTGCACAATTGACAGCTGACTGTTTCTGTGGTATACGGTGGAAAGTGGCCCAGTTGATCCGGAATTGTGATGATCAGTTGATAGAGAGAAAACAGCTTTCGTCTGGCATCTTCTGTAAATGAATAGGAGTTTAAGATTATCATATCATCTGGAATACCTGGAGTCATGATCGGGAACCGAGAGTCTGGAAGACGCATGAAAGGAGGAGATGGATAGACTTCGGGGTGGTATTCTCTCAAACTATCCGTGGAAGAATTTTTTGTTGCAGGAGTGCGTTTTATCTTTTTGACAGGTACGCTGCCATGTAAGTACGCCTCAATACGAACTCTACATTGGTTGGGATCGGTTAATAGCTGTGAACTCGTTTCCTCATCACCTCTACCATTCTCTTTATTATATTTACTGACAAGAGATCTTTGTGAACAACAATCATATTCTTGGATTTTAACTTTAACGTCTTCTTTATAGCCTCCAGTAGACGAAGAATCGATTTCAAGGAACGGATCTTTTGAATGTGTTTTCATCTCGCCTGAAGAACATTTTCTCGTAGAAAAAACATTACCTAGAGCGAAAAATTACCAAGAATGAACTCCTCAATTTTTCCGGACGCCGAGATTCGAAATATTTTTAGATCGTCATCCATATGTCCTTCCCTATCCCAATAAGCCATTTTGCAGCCATCAAACGGACCACTGTAATGTTTTTAATTGAATGTTACATAATCGTCTAGAAAAACTCACTATTTGTTTCCTTCGAGGTCGATGTAACTGTACTCATAAAAATTGAGAGAGCTGTCACAACGGGGCATCATTTCGAATTAAAGTAGATAGAGTATAGTATTTTTTAGATCCGAGACATTAAGCCGCCACGTCATCTATGTCACTTGAGCTAACCCAATTTTTCCATAATATCTAATTTTTCTTTTTTGGAATGCAACTATTGATTATGGGGTTATTCATGTAGCGAAACTCTGTATTGAAAGATTTCTCCGATACTTCATAAAGTTCAAAGACGCATCCCTTTTTCCAAAAAAAAATATCCCGCCACGTGATGTATTTCAATGCATTTACAGTTATGTCGCGAAATGCTTTCAACACATTTCGCGACACTCCCGGGGATCCTCTAGAGT